AGGACCGAATCTGCCAGTGAGAATGGACAACTACAGAGAAAGCTGTAAGACGACTGTTCTACACCAGAGCTACAAATCGTAGTTTTTCATCAGTTTTTTGCTTCGGAAATTTTCTTCATAAGTCTATTCTGCATCACCTGACCTATTGCGGTTCAAAGTCATTAATAACGTACCGTTAAAATTTATAGGACGTAGTAATCTCCAAATTGTAGCCAGAGAGAACCTCCCGATAGGATTTCGCTTCTGGGTGAGCTGGAGATTCCAATGCTTCCTCGTTATATTTTTTTACCATCTAGAGCTCAAAGTAAGAAAAATGTTGTTTCTTTCGAGGAGCGAAAAATCGTAAAAATTTTATCGATTGTTTGGTTGGCCTACATACTTTATCAATTGCATAAATGCCCACTGAAGTGGTTGGTTACGCTGAGCACATTGCGAACTTGCTGACGAGGCGTCATGACGATAGATATTTAATAACATGAAGTATTATCGTTTGTCTCTCGATGTAGTCACTTCGGGTGTAGATCATGACGTTTCGACTGCATACTGCTCTTCCTCCAAGTAAGCTTCACCCTAGAAACTATTCTGCTCAGCTGTCGGATCGGCACATTTTGTCAACGGTTCCCCCGGCGGTCCGTTACCGCACGGTTCTGTTGTTGTGCTGATTTCTATTACCTGGATTGCCACTTTCACCGGTAGATATTACTGATAACCTGTTTAACGAATAACCTCTAGGGTTGTTTCTGAGATATTAGCGTTTATTCGTAACGATTTAGTTTCTGAGGGGATGCTATATTCAGAATATGAAATGTAACACCTGTCATTAACAATAAGTTGGTGATCCTGGTGATTGTTATCCAGTGGGAACGCATAGATGTCGGAAAAGAAATTAGAATAAAATGGTAAATATTTATTCAGCTAGAAATAATCTAGGTGAACAAAAAATTAAATCGCTGGTGATACTTATCTTTTACCACGTGACTTCTTTCTTAATATTCGAAAGCTTTCGATGTTAGGGATAACTAGATTTTACCATTTAACCCAGCTACTCCCGCAACTTAGGAACGAAAGTTTGAGAATGTCTGAGGTAAGCTTGGGGGTATGGTGACAGAACACACGGCTGGGAGACGCCCTGAATTTGAGGTGACAGATAATTCAAGAAACTTTGTGCTGCTCACGTAACGACGTTGCATGCTAACAAGCGATTTTCAGCGGCGTAAACGAGAAAATTTACCGCTGATCTTAGCCGTGCTACCGGGAAGCTTCGATAAATAAGCTAGAAATTCAGAGAGAAACAAAAATTTCAATCCCTTTAAGCCGGTGAAATAAACGAATAAGCTCTTTTTAGAAATTGGTTGAGTGACCAGCAATCGGTAACCTTGTCACTGGTGTGAAGTCAAGAATTCGAAAGACCATATTTCATTCATCCTGATAGCAAATGTTTTACCATGGCAGGTTGAGATATTATGACTATTTGAGAACTTATATTTTTGTCTCTCGATCTATTTCTGTGAAAGCGATAAATCCTGCCCTCCAGTGAAATTTTATTTTATCAAGTTCAAGAAATTTAAGGCAGATTCTTATATTCATAGGAGGCAGACTAAACGAAAATGAATGTAAAAAGTCGATAAAAAAGTTTCAGACTTGTAAGCAACAAACGGTGTGAAAAAATAGATTAATACGAAGATTCGTATGAAAATCATGTGAGAGTGACAGATGGTCAAATCGTCTTCAGCACTTGCAAAACCTTCAAGTTTTTCCAACTCTTTGAAACGTCTGCTTAAACTATACAAGATAACATATTTGAAGTTTATTCATTCATTCATTCTAGAAAAATTGTTTGTTGAAATTGGCTGAATCATTACTTTTACGAAGAAGAGGTCACTTGACAAACTGTTGCAAAAGGCCTAATAGTTCTCCTACAGTGTTTATGTGGAAAGTATGAAAGAAAGTTCACCTGGTCGCTGAAGATAGGCTAACACTTAGGAAGCATGCACACTACACTACAAGACTGATCTGGACAAGCAGGGGATAAAATATGACACTTGCCTATGAAATATTATATTGTGTTAGTGGAGCGATTATTTCAAAACAGCGTATTTCATGCTTTTCCTGATGGTTTGGACATTAAGTCTGTCCACTTCTCTGTCCACTTCCATAATCATCAGACTGAGCTTTGATTATTTCGGATAGTGGGAACTTCTCTGGGTAACGTTCCATCAGATACTTCACGACCAGATTTGCCATTACCTTCTTGCGTTCCTGTTTAGGAGAAAAAGGTTCAGGTGGTAAGACGACAGAATGGCAGCTCTAGACGGAGAGGTTGTCAACCTTAGGGATAAAAAAATGGAACTACGAATTGATAATTCTCAACCCTTTCTCATATAATCATCAGACTGAGCTATGATCAAAATGTATAGTGGGAACTTCTATTGAAAATCAATTTTTTTGCTTCAAAGTCAGTCTATAATTACTCAATATATTACCAATGTTTCATCATAATTGATTGATACTGACTTGGTGACTCCTACTCCCGGCAGAATACCGCCTGCTTGAAAGCTAAGAGCAACAGTACGTGAAAAAGTCTAAAATAGACTCAGAATCTGAGAAGTTTATGGCCAATTTCAAGTCATCATAATTGACTGATACTGACTTGGTGACTCCTACTCCCGGCAGAATACCGCCTGCTTGAAAGCTAAGAGCAACAGTACGTGAAAAAGTCTAAAATAGACTCAGAATCTGAGAAGTTTATGGCCAATTTCAAGTCAAATGTTCAATCTATGATTGTAACCTTCAAAGGTTACTAGTGTAGCGGAGAAGACAATCCGAACGCACAGTATAAATCACGGTTTAATCAAATGAGGTGCGTAATCAAAATTACAAACTAAATAAGGAGATCGGTGTGAAAACACAGATGAAGAGAGCGAAGTGAGATCAAAGATAGCGTAGTTATGATCGATGGTAACGTTGTAGCTGAATTTGTGTGTGGTTCGAACTAAAAGAAAATGCAGCAGAAACTAAACTAAGAAAATACCCCTGAGAAATGTAAATCGATATACGTATCAAAAAAGAAATAAATCGATATACGCATCAAAAAAAAAAAAAAGGAAATATCTTAAATATGAAATAAAGAAAAACTTACTTTGGTCTAGCTCCTAATGATTGTAGATAAATCGCCAATAGCGGATCGTACATGAATAGCAGACAAAATTGATGGTGTCGACAGCAACTTATAGCGATGAAATATGAAATATAATATCTGGTACATGTGCTTAAATGAAACTGATTTAAATAAAAAAAAACTTATTAAGTAATAATCGTTAACCAACGAAGAAATAATAGACCGGAACAAACCTAACAGAAAAGTACACAAGTTACGCGTTTCGAAACTAACAATGATTGTGTTGCTTTTGCTGGTAACTGTCTTATATGCACCTGACGGGCTTGAACATTTTAAGAACCGTAACGGTGCTACGGGCAAGAGAGAGTGAGAGGAGTGACCAACGGGTTTGGAAAAAACAAAATGAAATTCGTATTTGCAAACTCACCTCCTGCCTGCCTCATTCAATTTTGGTAGCGTATATCCTTTTCAAATTTCTCGTCTACGTTGTCTTATTTTTTTGACTTCTCAGTAACAGTTTCGATGAATTGTTCTCTTAGTTCTTGGGGTTTTTGTTTCACAAAATTTGATGCATCTCAATGATGAATTTCATGTTTCACTCCTCTTAAAAATATCATACCTCGTTTGTGGAAGGTGGCGACTTCTTGCAAATATTCTCGAAGCATATACAGAAAGAACAACACGATTTATCTTGGTCATCGTCGCTCTAAAGCAAAAGAATCATAAAATAAATCGATTAGATTTACTGCACCTGGGAAAACGCAAATCTTATCTTTCTAACAACAGCAAACGGGTTTATGTACATGGTTATTATCCTCCAATCTACGTTGCCCTATTTTTTTGGCTTCTTAGTAACAGTTTCGATGAATTGTTTTCTTAGTTCTTGGGGTTTTTGGTTTACAAAACTTGATATATTGTATCTTAATGATGAATTTCATGTTTCACTCCTCTTAAAAATATCATATCCTCGGTTGCGGAAGGTGGCGAGTTCTTGCAAATATTCTCGCAGCATATACAGTAACTGATGCCAAACTATTTCCCTTAGAAATGATATTAATTAAATTATCGTGTTCACCTGTTGAACCTTAGAATCTGACCGTACACTGTCACTGCCCTGTCTCTCTCCAGCCCCCTCATAAGATGTTCTCTATTCAAATAGAATAAAGCTTAAGTAAAGCACCCCCCCATCCATTAGCTGCTTCATGTGTCTACATGATTTCATTGAAATATGAAGCACACGCCCAGTTTTAGAGAGGTCGAAAGATGAGAGTTTCTGTTCAAACTCTCAAGGTTTTACCTAACTCAGTAAACGCGCAGCTTACGCCTGAATAAATTGTTTTTGTTTTTACACTTTCAACTTTTATGAATAAAGATTGCCTCTCCTACACTTCAACCCAAACTCACACGTCATGGGAATAGTAGGCGCTATTGAATTTATTTTTTAGAAATTCTCTTTTCTTAGTAAAGCAAAAGCTCCACTAGAACAAATCTAAATTCTTTTCACCTTTCACCCTCAGTAAAAATCTCACGTACTCTTTGAAGTATCACAGCTACGATACACAAACAAAGTACAACTAACCGGTTCTTGAGAATTCACCAAGAGTTCACTCTGTTAGATTTAAAAAAAAAATCTGTATCAGAAAGGACTGTCGATGATCAAAGAGAGAACGCAAGATAGTGGTGATCATGAATTGCATGTATCTCTTCTCTTTGAAAAGTGTTTATCAATAGGATATCAGCATAATACCTCGTCAGTGGAGTTCCCCTTACGACGGTTGATCTCTTTCTTAGGTTTCCCTTTTGCTTTCTTTTTAACCTGGTGAAAGAAACATCGGAGGCTGGAAACGTGATTGAGAAACTCTCTTTTTAATCATTAACTTACAGGTGCAGAGTGGAGGAGTTTAGGGGAGTCATATGGTTTTAATGGGGAACGCAGTGGGATCAGTCCTCGCCAACAGAGTATTATTGGGGGAAACTGACAGCTAATTAACTGTCAATGAGGGTGGGGGAAGGTCACAAGAATTATTATATAATATATAGAGCTAACCCCTCCCTCCCCTTCCGGCGATAAATAATGACCAGTCCATTGGATGTTTTGACAAATACATTAAAACTTAGCATTAATTCCATTCACTATTTAGCTTGATCCCTAATGAACATTTTACCGCTGTGATGATCTTGTATAGAAGCCAGAAGAAAAACAGTACAAGTACACTTACAAGTACACGTACAAGTACAGGTACAAGTGCAAGTACAAGTACAAGGTTCATAGGCACAGGTACAGCATTCTCTTTGTGAATCCATTCTAGCCACATTTGGGTTCTTGAAAACTTCCATTCTGTAATTGCATTTTTCTAGAAAATTGAAGTTCAGAAATTCGATCAGTTGTTGGCTCATGCTAAAGTGAATGACTAGGAAGAAAATACATCCAGCTCCAAAAATAAAAAATGTTCAAGTGCAGGGCTTACGACTTATACCTCAATACTTTTTGGACCAACCGCCAAGACCCACGCCCGTAACATTCCAACGATATCACACTTTATCATATAAACTACGGTGTTATACAAGGATTTCCAGCCCTGAGAAAAGCCTTAACAACACACGTGAAAAAATACGATATCTTTTCACCTGTGTTTGGCATCGCTAATCAGCTGCTGACACGTCACTCGCCTTTCGCGCTACTCGATCAGGCAAAGCCTTTACCATTCTCAATCCTAGATCGTTTGTCAGAGATTTTTTCGGATTATGGCTGTTAAAACACTGAAAAATTCGTATCGCTTACAGACAGTGACGTTCAAACTTTTCTCTAAAAGGGGAAGAAAACCAAAATACGAGAAGAAAAACCGAAAGTTACGTATTCAGTGGCTTTGGTGATGGCACTCCTCATAGCAGAGAACGAAAATCAATAACTAGAAGATTTGCTACAGGTCGATTTTGGCCGTGTACCTGAAAGATTTCTTCTGTCGGTAAGGGCCAATTCTAAAACTGAGAATTTTTTGTATTGAAGATGAGGCCCATTGTTTGTTTTTGTGGTGATTCAACGCATGTTTTCATCTTAAGTGCACCAACGCAATTTACGATTTTTATTCGAAGATTGTCGATCCTTTTATTTTCATTCTTTGGTAAAGTCGACTTTCCTTGTCAGTAAAGGGCTATTGTGTTTATTTGATAAACAAAATAACATATGGGCGCGCGCAGATATAAAAGTTCTCTTCTCGTGTTCAACTCGACATCTCACTTGTTCGCTGCGCTTACTCGTGAGCTATCGAGTTAAACACTCGAAGAGAAATTCCATATCTGCGCGCGCCCATGTGTTATCCTCTATTTCTCTCTGAATACATTGTCATGGTTCGCTTTATTTTGATCAATGAGGTCAACACACATACACACGCACAAGTGCACACACACACCCTGCTCATTGACAGCTAATTGGAAGTGAATTTTCTTTGGTCCCCCCTTGATACTTTGTCGATGACGACTGCTCCCCCCTTCGTTCCTCCCGAAAACCATGTGATCCTCAGGCGATAAGAACACCGGTCCCAAAACAAAAGCAATGCTTTTTTTCCTGATTATCTCCTAGATCCGCTGAAATAACTTACCATGATATTTTCAAAAGAGTAGCTCATCATTGAGATCAGCATATTTAGTGCCACAATGACGGCAAGTATCATAAACACGATCATAAGAATGCTGACATAAATGGGTATGTAGCGGAAGCGATTATCATCGACACCCTTTCGGTCTTCGTTCACGTCAGCGAACAACCACCAAAACATATTGTAGAGAGCGGTAATGTGGCTGAAAGCGATGAAAATAAAAGGAACTTCTTGTTAGACATAATCCAGTCTGACGGTTAGTGTTTAAGGTCTGGAGCAACTCTTGTTGGGGTATGGAGTATTTTTTTATAATTCGTAGTATGTACAGAAAATGGTATTTAAAAATATAGTTCTATCGAACTTATTCAAATCACGACCTCTATCAGAATCTAAAATATGAACTTTTTGATACCAACGTTACCAAACTTTTGCCAATGAAAATAATTTATTGGTTTTATAAAAAACCTTTTTTTGGAAACTTAGAGATCAGTTCCTAAGGCAAGCTTAAAAGAAATGACGTGTAAGTTTCCTCGAAACAGTGAATACTAAAGTAGGAGCATTTAGCTAAGAATTTGGTAAGACATAATATTCTCAAGTGAGTTTCGCGAATGCATGGCGATCGACTTGGTCGATCGCTGGGATTTACATTGCCCTTCAATTATATTTCGATCGACAAACATTAGTTCACCCAATCATAGGCATTTATATTTTCAATCACCAATCTCCTTACTAGATTGTAGCGATTGAACTATTTGATCACCTCCGCGAACTCTAACATATGGGATCTACCAATCAGGTTTCACCATCACCTCTCTAAATTATGACGCCCTGGAAAGGACTGAACTTTGCGCATGTGAAACGGCAATGGTGCGGAAAAGTTGCGTGTGTCTCGTTGGTGTAAAGAATGTTGGAGGTATTGAGTGAAAACTGTCGATATGACTGTACGTGTGTATGAGTTATGTTTGATTTTCATAAGTAATCATTAAAGTCCAGGCAAGTGAGATTTAGTCCTTACTTGGCATATGGATGCGTCGTTTTGTAATGAATTGTAATATTCTCCTTGTCCTGTTTTTGTAGTTCCTTCTCAGATTGGATGTAATACGAATAGATCTTAGCCACCCCAGTGACAAATGCAAAGAAGAGCACGGAGATGATGGCGAGGAAATTGATAACATCTTTCAGCATGTTGAAGGAGCACAACTGCATGGGACCCAGCGTTGAACTGACTTGGAAAAAGCGTCCCAAGTGGAAAAAGGCTACGGCGCAGGCACTGGCATAAATGAGAGCAGAAAAAATAAATGATGGGCTTTCTGGCCTCCACCCTCCGTATGTCAACCATGCGCTCCCCCATACTATGTAGGAAATCAGAAATGCTGAGGCCATTACTAGGTCTATAACATTCCACCACTTTGAGAAGTAATTTAAGCAGCCTTGCTGCCAGAGCTCCATGAGTTCCTGTATGAATAGACCGCACGCAAAACATACACACAAAACATCTGTTGAAAAAGTGAAAAAGAAAGAAATTTAGTTTCTTAGGCACTTGAGATTTTTTTTCCGCACAGTCAGATCTAACGAGAAATCTAATACGTTGCTTGTCCACCGTACGCCACTAAAAAAGAGCTTTCTAGGCACGCAGTTTATGAATCTTGTAATAACTAGGGGGGGCAACTGTACGAAAAAGGATCTTCAACTGGGAAACTTCACTCTGTCTCCATTTACTCTCAACTCAAGACAAGAAAGGCTGTATAAATTAACTAAGAGAATCCAACTCTGGACCTACATTAAAAGCACTGGCGGTTATCTCTGTTTTTGAATTTTTAGCCGTTGATAGATTTGATTTCGCTGTTTTCACTTTAGAGTGGCATTGTTATTCTTTCCTCTCAGAGTATTTTAAAAATTCGAGACACAATTTCGTGACGTGATTTTGTAGCATAATTTTGTGGACTCAATTTATATCCACTGTTTTAGTATATGGTAATCACTAATAAAATTATTACTATCATTATCATAATTATAATGATTATTATTATCATCTTCATCAAAATTGTATATCTCAGTTACTACGTGCGGTATGATTGATCAATTTGGCGAGCCGTATTCCACTGTAAGACTCGCTCAGAAAGCTGGTTTTGTTGGCCGAAAGAGACACATTAAATATCTTACAAAGTCCGTTTTCTTGGTCCGTACTGTAAGTTACAGAACGTCGTTTTTTCAGCGCTCGGATTTATGACCCAAGTGCGTAACACACGGGCCGTAAATAAACGGAGGAAAATAATCGGTCTGCAACGTAGAGTACGGAACGAGAAAACGGGTAAGATATTTGTTATTTTTGATATCGGTTTACTGAGAGTACAAGTGACATGCATTCGGAGACTTATGGTGAAAAGTGATTACTTTATCCAACTCAAGGTCATATGAACTGCGGAAATGAATCAATCATAAGAATATATTGAATATACAGAATATGACGTGTATAACTTACCAAGTAGTAACATCGAGGGGCCTGAGCTGGTTCTGCTGTATACAGTCGGGAAGGAAGAGGCAATGATCGTGCATAGAAATGTCAAGTATGACATGAGTTGGTTGATGAACTTGGAGTAAGGATGTTCGAAAAATTTCCTCAATTTCCAGCATGAACAGCAGGAGGATGCACCGCAGTTCAACAGTTTTATCAGTAGATAAGGAATGCTCATCACGAGTGAGAAGATAAAATGAAAAAGGAACCAAATGCTCTTTACGACAAAACCTTCATCTCTCCAGTCCCACCATCCACGGTTGATCACCTCGTTGAGTACATACTGGCAGTTGTAGCTCGCCACAAACTGTGCCACAATAAAATAAGTGACACCGTTAAATAACTGATTTTCATGATAGACAGTTAGAAACTGCTAAAGAGGGCTACATTAAGATGAAGTTAGGCACGAAGCTATAGATTGAGAGCTAGATAAATGAAAGATCCCTCTTCGTCGTTCGTGACGGAATTAGACTTGGCACAGATAAATGAAAACAAAATATGTCTGACCTATGTATGCCGTGATAAATAGCTATAAATAATGATTTGCTAAGTACAGAACTGATCCTAAGCTGGAAACGGAGAACTTAATTTTGCAAGAGATCGTGTTCGATATCAGTTCAAATTACAGATTACCATTAAGAAGAAATCCGCAAAGAAAACGAAAGGTTTGCCTCGAACCTTCGAACTCTGGAGAATCAGCGTTTGTCGTTGAATGAACTGCTGACAGACTAAGTAAATAATAATTTGAATTCTGAGAATTGACGAAGATTTCCGGCTTCGTGTTTGACTCTGACTTTGGGTTTAATTCTTGGTTACCTATGAATTGAAGGTTGTAATATTTCACGAATAAAGCAGACAGGAAATTTATAAAATAAGAAAATATTGAGATATACATGTAAAGTTATGGATAAATACACTTACAGCTATTCATTCTTTTAATTTTTTTTTGGTCTGACCTTTTCGCCTCGCCAAGGTTATTTAAGTAATTCTGTAATCAATAAAGCTCACTGTTTTAAGGCAATGAGCAAAAACGAACTTGACTTCTTAACTTACCAACTTTCGTTGTTTCTCCACGCCGAACCTCACCAGGCTCACACTCGGCATGAAATTGTCAGGCTTTTTCTCATTCAATAAACATCCTGTGCCCTCGATATCCATGATGAGGTGAAGTGGTTTCAGTTGGGAAGGACCTATTTGGGCAACGATATCTACGGCCAATTTCTCAAGGTCTCTCGCGCAATTCATGTAGTCGTCTCGACTGTATTGATGATACTTGTACGCGGCGATTTTCCCTAACAGGAGTGAGTCACGGAGGGATGCCTCAATAATGCCAGACAATGTAGTTTCTTTACGCTTTATTCTTTGCTTATCTGCCTTCATCTCTGATGTCTCATTCGCTTTCTCATCTGCCTTCTCATCCGATTTCTTTTTGGCATTCGGCTCATTAAGCTTTTCTTCTTTCTCGTCTGCCTCCATCTCCGATGTCCCATTCGCATTCGGCTGATTTCGGGTATTCGAATCAATCTCCCACAACCATTCGAGGGTTATGTACAACGGGTTGCTCAATATGAGGATCCATCTCCTTTCTTCTTCGTTTTGTGCCGTTGTCGTGTCTTCGATATTGTCTTCAGTGCTCTTGCAAGAGATCCATTCTTTGAAATATTTGCATAGTTGACACACTTTATTCCACGTCTCCGACATCTTCCAACGTGTGATACTTATAATGTTGTTATCTTCCTTTGCGTTCTCCTCGCGCGCGATAGTTCTACAGTCATTGCTTAAGTTGTCAAGGGTCTTCTTATCATTTTTTTCTCTGAAGTCAGCGATGAGTCTCCAGACCAAGACAACATCATTCTTTTGGAGGGCAACTTCCAAACGATCTTCCCAGGCTTTAGAGGATTCAACCTCGTCTTCGACGTCTTTTTTTGCCTCC